TCAGAGCAGTATAAGCCTTCCAGCTGGCAGTGATTTGTTTCAGGAGCTTGTGGTTTTTAAATGATTACATGTTAGATCCCAGAGTCCTCTTCTTCTGTGGTCTCTGCAGCTACCCCTGAAGCACTTGTTCTCCTTGAGTGCTGTTCACAGTTGTCTGGTGGAAGTGGGAAGCACTTTTAGGACTTTATGGCAAGGACAGCAGGAGCCAGTGGTTATCATGTTTTTATTTCATGTTCTTACCTAATAAACCAAAATATAGGGATCTAGATAGTGGCATAATGCATTGTTCTAAAGGCTTCTATAACCCTCAAAATAACTATTTTCAAATCTAAACTCCAGCCCTTGGCATAGAATCATGAATTGCCAGACAAACAGCAAGGAATTCACTTGGCTATCAGCATTGTAGCCAAAATTATCCTACTTTGGCAGGTCATTTGACTATTTTAGAGACTTTGTTGTTGTCAGTGTATCGTAAAGACACCATGTTCACCACATGAAATGTTGAGAGGTACTAGGTGACACAGATGAAGATGCTGCTAGGTGGCGACTGTCAGGAATGATACTGGGATGCTTAATTCAGTATCTCTAAGCCTCAATGTCCCCGAGTAGGTGCTCATAGCGGTAACAGTTATAGTGTCATATACATATTTAATTACTAATTTGGAGCTCAGTGGGACATGATGGCTCCTGCTTGGCAGAAAGGCAAGAAACTGCTGCTTAGATGTGCCTAATTTTTTGAGTGCCAGCATCTACTGGCCCCTGCTGAGCTCCTACAGGCACGTTTAACCTCCAATTTGGAAAAGGAAAGTGGAGTTTGGCACGTCACCTTTGGAAGGTGGCTGACTGTCTGTGCTACATTTATATGAAGTGTGGACAGAAATTCACATTAGTTCTTGTACTGCTTAAATTCACCTTGTTGTGCCAAAACCAAGCAAAGATTATTATCTTTGTTAGATTTAACAGAAGTTTTCTTCAAAAAGAAACCCTTTGATCAGGAAACATGACAGCAATTCTTTAGACAGTTTCTCACACAAGATGCTGAACTTTTACCAAGTGCTCATAAGTTATAATAAATAGCAAATTATTTCAGTTTGTTTTTTTCTTTAAAGGAGGACAAATGTGATATATAATCTGAATCTAGGGAGAAGTATGGCACCACAAAGTCTCTGTCACTAAATATTTTAAGCTGTTAAAAAGAACATTCAAAAACATTGGTGCTGCAATTACTTGGAGAGAGACTTTTTGTCTGGTTACTACAATACTGTTTTGTACTGTTTTGTGTTTTTTACAAATGAAAAAAATATGATCTCTAAGTAGACACAGCAAAGTAAGGTTTTGTTTTATTCAAAATAATGTTAAGTCTTCTGAGGTAGGTAATTTCTATTAACTTTTATGTCACTAAATAAAACTTCTTGTTATCGAACTTAGTTTAATTTCCCAGACATGAAAAAGACAAAAACAGGAAAACAAGAGTATTTAATTTCTTTCCACTCCAATTTACCATTCTTCATCTAGTTTTGTTTTGACGTTTTATCTACTGCAGCTTTTGGTGCTCTTATATTGTAAATGTTTGAGGTGAAGATTTATTAGCTGTTTTACACTGCCTCATGTGTTTATTTATAGCATTAATATGTAAATAATAATCAAAGTGACACAACTGAGAGAATTTATGAAATATTCAGGGCTGAAGCAGCGAATTTTTAAAATGTTGTTTATTTGTCTTTTATAAGGGAAATTAAAGATTTGCATGATCTTGTCTGACAAGGTCCTTCACAGAGAATGATACTTCATTTTGCCAAAATTAAATTCCAAAATTACAAGAAACACAGATCAGACTACAGTTATCCGCTTGGAGCAGAGTGGCTAGAAGATGAATTGAATACTGCACCTAGGAGAGTTGGTTCTTTCCTAGTAGAACTCTGCACATGGACTTTCAAATTGGTACTGCCAGCTAAAATTGATCAAAACTTTGTTATTTTGAGAGTGGTTTCCACTCCACTTTTCGAGGTTTTAAAATTGTGCGTGCTTTCCTTTTCATCTTCAGCTGAGTGGCAACAATTTGCAATAGCAGCAATAAATAAAGCTAACCAATGTCTAGCAGAACATTTTTTGAACTCCAAAGATACAAACATATTTCTCTATATTTTGACTGACTCTCTACAAGATGCTTCGTTTTATCTGGAAGCGGGAGAGGACTATTCCTACAAACCCTAAATGAGTGTCCTTAGATGAAAAGCTACCTGAATAGCCTAACACAACTAGTCAGAAGCTGCTCGGCACTAGTAATACAACTTTTGATTATTGCATTTGGGTAAGAGTTTTTGGGCTGTTTTTTCCTATCTTTTACGATTTATGATGAGAATGGACTCTTAGTAACAAAGACTGCAGTTAACGGGAGGGACCAGTGTTAGGCATTTCCATATAATACTTTAACTCGCTTGTCTGTAGTTAGATACTGTGCCATTTTGTGAGACTTAAAGAGGCTATAACATGAACACAATGAACCCAAACCACTCGATCCTTCTACCTCTGCTATAAGGTTTTTATCTTCAACATGAAGGCACTTGCTAGCATACACAGAATAAATGGTCAAGCAAAAGGAAGCAGACAACATTGTTTTCACAGCACACAAGTACCGTGCTGGATGTGATTTCATGCATACATTACTGAGTGTTAGTAAAACCAGAACAGACACACACTCCCAGCAATAAAATTCTTTCTGTTGCTCCTTTGGGACCAATGATTTTTTTATACTGTTGCACAGCTGGTTTATGTATGCCATTTCCATTGGGCAAAGCTAGTCCCCCTGCTTATGCCTTGGAATTGTTTAATGGTTGGGAACTTGTCTGTAGAGCAGCTTCAGCAGATTTTTAGAGTTGGAAGGCCTAATGTTTAAATTGTTGCAATGGGAGATCCATTTTAAGTGAGAAAAAAAAGCTCTATAAAAAAGGGTTTAAATAAGAGTCAAACTTGCTATCATTTTTACAGCTCAATATGAGAATTCTGATTCCAATGCAATTATTTTATTCTTTGACATATATTCCAAATCATTTATTGTTTTCATTAGAATTGCCATATTTAAAGCCAAATGGGATGCATTGCAGCAATATATGATGTGATTCTTGTGCATAGCTTGCCCATACTCTTTTGCTAAGGATGCTAAGTACTTCCAGATCCTATTGATTGAAAGAATTGTGTAAAATATAAATTGTCTGTCAGTATATTTACAGACATGAGCATGGGAAATTTTGAAATGGTGATGATATGAAAGTTTTCTTTTTTTCTTTTATTTGCAGCAAGGAATCCTCCTTTTGGGGACTGAAGGCAGAGTTTTGCTTGTGATGGCTAAGTAGCCAGCAAGACAAGAATTTAAGTCTTTTGGGTATATTCAAGCCAGATACAATCCAGACAAATGCAGCACTTAGTCCATGTGCTGGAACAGCAGCTTCAGCTTTGACCTAATGAAGCTATCATTTCTAGCAGTGAGAAGTGATTGACTTGTCAGGCTGCTGCGACCAGAATTTTTTTGGATTTGAGGACAGCTGTCTGTGCCAAATTCTAGTATTTATATAATGACTTTCATTTTATTTGAGTTGTAGTATAAACTGCAAAGGAAAAGCTGCAACTACCATCACTCTTTCTGCAAACCAAAGAATTTGATCTGACACTCAGATAAACTCATGTATGTAAAATTTCAGAACTTTACATTTGAAAAACTGGCAGTAGTTTCCATTCCACATGTATAATTTATGTTGACATATCTGAATTATACATGTGGGCAGTCAGTCGAAGGGATCATAGATATATAAAGACTAGCAGTAGAATGTCTTTTAGCTTTATAGTTATCAGAATGCCAGTTTAGCTTCTTTGTCAGGTTAACACCTTATGCATATAACCTTTATAATCCAATTCTGTTTATTAGACCTTGAGGTATTTCAGCGTGAGTTGTACACTGCTTTTAATGGCTACATAGACATAAGTATAACAGAGCACCTTGTAGAAGCATTCCTTTTCCATTCAATAACCCAACAGTGAAGTCTTAAAAAAATCAGTAGAAAGCCTAATCTGTTATCTGGTAACTGGTAGGCATGCATTATGGAGGAACATGTGCTTATGCTTAACAGTTTTTTGGGTTTTCAGTTTTATATGAAGGTTGTTTTTTTGTTGGGGACTTTGGAGAGGTCTAGGGTTCTAGGGGCATTTTGTTTGGGTTTTTTTGTGGGTGGGGTTTGGGTAATTTAAGTGTTTTTCCTGTTAATAACAGAGACCACAATATCTTGCTTTGCTGTTATTCCTTCTTACCTGTTTGGTTTTTTGCTGGTGAAAAGCAATCCTTTCAAATGAAAGAAAATATCAATATTCTTGGTTTTCTGATTTACAAAATGATAGTTCTGTCAGTTGGCTTAGTGATAAGTATCGCAGAAATATACAGAAATAGATTAATAAATTATATAGTTGTACTGAAATACTTAATATAGAATTGATCTTCAGCTGGTATAAAATGCTCACTAAGTGGCTCCGTATTTCAGGTAATGCACCCCAAATCCAATAAACATCTTACTGTTATGCCTCTAAAATCAAACAGGTTTTTTTTTCAGATGATTAAATACAAAACTGTAATAAATTCAGTTTTGTTCATCTTTCAAGTCTTATGTCCTTCTAGTTTATTATTTTCTCCAGCTAAGTCTACTAGTTTTAAAAAAGATTTAGAAAATGTGCTTTTTTCAAATGTCTCAAATTTCCATGTCTGTCAACTGCAGTCTCCTTCCTTTCTGTCTTTTGCTGCTACCACCACCATTTTTCCTCCTATTCAAAGGCATTTTTGTGGATGACATTTGCGAGGCTTGCAAAAGAGAGACTTTGAAGAATGGGGGCACTCGGGAAAATGTTTCTGCAATTTCTGTATTATTTCCCATGTATATTCCCTCTAAGAGGATGTTCCTTCTTTCTTTCCTTAACTGTGGTTACCCATTGATTTTTACTACAAAGTTTACATTCTCCAATAGCAAAGGCAAAACACCAGTAGGTTTTCTTTTAAATATGAATTATGGATCAACATTTCATCTGCTGATTGTGCTGTTTCTAGTGAACACAGAAGAAATGCTACTGATAAAGTAATGTTTTCAGTAAACTGCAATTTTATAGGGTGAAATGCTGGTGCTATGGAAGTCAGAAGGAATGTTCTATTGGTTTCACTGTGGACATAGTTCTTTCTTACTGTTTTATTTTTCTGCTTATGTTACTGGGAAAAACAGGGATGTTTGAAGTTACCTTAGAAGAAAAACAAATTCCTGTGATTCGGAGACATAGAAAAGCTCTGTTCGGGTCAATCGCTAACTTTATACAAGAAAAATTATGCACTATCTTTCATTCTTACGGGAACAGAAACATTTGAAAAGGAAAAATGTAAATTTGGTCATTTACTTTTAGACCTATGAAAAACTGGTGAATAGAAATTTAAAATATTTTTAATTATGTAATACACTTTGTCCAGAAGAGCTATTTCATTTAACTTTTAATTTTTTTAAATTACTCTCAAAATTTTTTATAAATGCAGAATGAAGACAGACATGTTTTATGGTTAGAATTGGTTTTGCTTATATCTCACTATTTATGAAGACATTCTCTGAAACATTTTAATTCTATCCAATATGTTATGTATACATAATACATGATGTGTAGTACTTCTGGGAGATAACCTGAATAATTCACCTACAGTAATATGATCATGTTGCACTTCAGGTTATAAATGTTTTAGTGCCATAATACATTGTCATATAACATTAAAAAATCCTTAACATTTTAAATCAGTAATGACGAAAGATTTGAGATTTATGAATTCTGATTCTGTTTATATTTATTGTACCTAAATTTCATTTTATATCCACTTACTTTATTAAACTACAGAAGTAAATGAAAAGTTGTGATAAAGAACAGTACAAAACATTTAACAAAATTAATCTCTTAAATTTATCCCCTCCAGTACAAATAGCTTTGTGTGCTTCACATGTATGGAAATAAGTATAAGGATAGTGCTTCTCCAAAGGCAGAAAAAAATAAAAGGAACTGGCTTGCAAGCTATTTAAAAAAATGAGTGAGGAAAAATAAAGAATTCTCACTTTGAAAATTATGTTAAATTTCCAGAATTCTTAAACTCAGTTATGCTTTGTAACTTTCATAGCCAAAAGTTACGTTGAATTATATGTGTGAGGAAACAGGGATATCCATTACTATTTAACTAAAATGGCATGTGTAAGGAAACAGGAGCATCCATTGTTACTTAACCAAGAGTCCTGTTAAATAACAGGAATAAGCCATTATTTCACATCTGCTGATCTTTAAAAAGGAAATGCTGTCATTATTAATTCTCTATGTGTCAGTTTGCATGACCTAAATGATGGAATTTTTCACTGAAACCATTTGTCATAGGGATTATCTGATGAACTTAGTATGCCTGGAAAGTTTATTTAACAGCTCATTTGCCATTATAAAAAGATGCAGGTGAACCATGCAGTATATGAATGCCTGCACACCCTAGTTTTATTTCTGGCAAATAAGTGTTGGCTCATTTGACTAAAAAATTATATGAAAATATTTTTTTCAATCAGGTAGTTTTTTCTTGGCTACAGGTTCATAATATGCCTTAATTACTATGAATTACCTTTATTCTGCCTTACATACTTTTACTTTTTTTTGAGTCATAGTGTTTACTTTTACTTAAATTTTGGTTTTCCAGTTTCCTTATATTTTGTCACCTTTGTGTGGCTACCATGAGCATTTAAAAAATAGTAGGAATTAATAAAAAATAAATTGGACTTTCAGAAGCTCAGTTGCAATTTTTCCATTGTTTTGAATTACTTAGGGCAAGGATATGTTATAGTAGGTCCACAAGGAGGACCTAACATTCAGTATTGGAAAAGGTTAGATATTGGAACCTGTCAGGTGTCCTTCTTGACTCTAGAGTCAGCACAGACAACTGAGGGAATAATATCTCAGTTGATATTGACCAGAAATTGAACCAGGATAGGGAGATAAATCACAGGGGTAGCTAATTGGTTTTTGTTGTACCAAATAGACCCTAAAGAATTTTATGGCATCATAATATATCGTTACATCTTAATTATAATTATTCTAATGAAGTGTTTATGTCCTATGGTCATAGATAGCAATACTAGAATTTTGAAAAAAGATTCAATATGTAGAAAAATAATATATTCATCTGAGAATTGTCTGGCAACACTGAAAAAATATTCAGTGTTTCCACCATACAATTCTGTGATGACTATACAAGGCCACTTGTAGAACATTAATTTTTTACATTCACTATGTATTTAAGGTAATGAATAACAGAAGTAAAACTGATACTACATTTTGATAAAGCTTCATAATAATGAACTATAAACAATGCAGAATAATGTCAAAACTAGATGCTAACCCATAATTTTTATTTCAATAGAGCTTGAATTTCTAGAATTTACAAGGAGCCATAGAATTTATGGGAAATTTTTGCCTGCATTTTCTTCAGTGTATTGAGAGTATTTAATGCAGCTCATGTATGCCTGGTAAATATATAAGATGAAGATGATCTTAGTTTTAGAATCTTTTTCTTTGTTTTAAATTCCAGATCCATCTGCTCCACCAGCTCCATCTAATATCAGAATTGCCAATATCAGTGCAAGCAATGATGGGAGTGTAAACGTAATGATTACTTGGGATCTTCCAGAAGAGCCTGATATCCCAGTGCACCATTACAAAGTCTTCTGGAGCTGGACATATAGCAAATATGTAATCCCAGCTAAAAAAAAGAGAAGGAAGATTACTGATGGGGTAAGAAAGAAAATAGTAAATAACACAGATATACAGCTTGTTTCTAACATAAAATATAGTAAGTATAAAATATGTGATAAATTGCAATTCAGTAGCTGGTAATGTAGTGGTCTTAATTTTCAGTATCTCCAATCCCATAGACAATTTTGATCTCTCAAAATTGTTGTAGTAGTGTGCCTAAGATAACAGACCTGCTTTTAATGAGAGCCTGTGCTTCAGTAATACTGTAACTACTTTGTATATTTATTCTTCTCTATTATAGGCCCAAAATTATGTGGTCCTGGAGGGACTCCAGCCCAACAGCAACTACAATGTAGAACTTCAGGCAGTAACACGTTGGGGTCAGATACGCCTAAAGAGTGCTAAGGTTTCTCTCCATTTTAGCACGACTCAGGACACCAGGAATAATAGTGAGTAATTGTATTCAAACACCTGAATGCTTTACCTCTTCTTTATCTGGAACATGAATATTTTACATAGTGATTTCTCAATTTAAAAAACAAAAAAAATCTTAAATCCTTCCATTTTATATCATAGTGATCCTGTCTCAGTGAAGTTGAGTAAACTTTTGAAGTTAAATTTTTAATCTAAAAATCAGTGACAGTTTTTGACTGATTCTTTATCTTAGATGCTACTTAATGAAGTAAACGAATGCAACAAAAATGGAAGCATTTGCATGACTGTGGTGTTAGTAGTTTCAAAATGTAGTACAGATGTAAATGCTTACTATATTTTTTAGTAGCCGGAATAAAACCTTTTCTGTGCCTTTGTCTTAACTGGACAGTTTTAGCTTGCAATGCTTTTCAAAATCCTGATTATTTTGAGTAGCCCATTAATTCAGATTCTTGGATCACACAAATATGTATCTGCTATGAACTGATACAAACCACTAACTCTTCTATTAGGGAATTTAAAATGTTCCTGACAAGCTATGAATTCTCCAGAAATTATTACACACATAGAACCCACATGCAAATAAAAATCTTGAGAATCTTGTAATTTTTGGTACCATGCTATACTTACTGTGAGAAACCCTTTCACTGGTAGTACTGTATCAACTCTCCATGGTCTCACTAATGGTCTGTCTCTCACAGACTATATCACCAATAGGTTTGTGTTGGGAGAGGAATATTTTGTTTCACTTTTCCTCTCCAAACGTTGTGTTTTTCAGAATCTGATGCAGATCACAACTGATTCATTACTTACAAATACTCTACCAAATTGTGTTAATTTATCCTATACCTCACATGTGACTTTGGTGGTTTCATGATTTTCTGTCCACTCCAGTGGTATCTCTTTCCTGTCATAATCATGGCTAGATTTAAATTCCTTCCACAATTTTGCTTGGATAATCTGCCCTGTCCTTGATTGCTTTACTTCAGAAAACAGTCCTGGTTGAGTGGGAGGTGTCCCTGCCCATGCCAGGGGGGTTGGAACTAGATGATCTTTAAGGTCCCTTTTAACCCAAACCATTCTGTGATTCCATGATTTGTTTCTGTAAGAATCCGCCATCTACTAGTGTCTATTAGTATAGACTTTCTAATGCCTTGTGCTTTTTTTCAATTTACTGTGGTGACCTTTTTGGACTAAGAGGTTCATTAATTATAGTATTGTTTTTTTAAACCACAATCATACTACACTAAGAGCAATATTTTAATTTTCTCATGTACTTCAAGTATTTGACTATTATGTTGAAGTTATGAACATCCGTTCAGTTAACAAGCAGCATTTTCTTTCCAACTGCAATTAGTGCCTGCAAGAACTGACGCACATATTTGTTTTACAGTAGAGTACTTCAATAAGTACTGAGCATCCTTTCTTTTAAAGCCATGTAGTAATGGATTCAAGATTCTTTGAGACTAAACCACTGATATCACACATTTTAGAAGAGAGAGCACTCTGCTAAGAAGTGTATTTGGACCTTTTTGGACTTTTTTTTTTTAAAGTGACTAAATTATAGGTTACATAGAAAAGCAAATAAAAACTACTCCTGGAGGAGATGAAAATTCATCTTCTGAATCTCACTGAAGAAGTTATTTAGGTACAGAGCCAGTCCTACTTGAGGTGCTTTTGAGAATACTCAGAAGCAGATGCAGAAATATGAAAAAGAAAAAAAAAAAACCCAGCATTGCCTGAAATATTATCTGGGACATGACATTCACACCCCCTCTTTATTTGGGGACTTCCATGGCCTTTGGGAAGTAGTTCCAGAAGCAACATGCCAATTTTGCTGAAGTCCCACTGTGAGTTACTCTGCTCTTTGTGGAATTAATCTCTGTTTTTTAAGGTGTCTGTTTCTATTGTCAGAATAGAGAGTAGTCCATAACCCGCTGAAGTAATTTAGTCCTACAGACCTCTGTGAGCTTTGACCCTGGCCCTCTGGCATTATCTTTCCGCGCACTCAGAAATACATTGCTTCACTATATTTGTGTGCTTCACTTCTGGGAAATGCAACAAGACTCTCTCTCTTGATCTTTATATAGAAATATTCTAAATTGGTGTCCTGGTTTTTCTGGAAGTGGAGCAGAGAGAGAACAGCAAAGTAGAGAATTAGTAAAATTAAAATACTTTAAATTGATGTATACCTAATAGATTTAAGTTTGTACTTCTCTCTATCACTTTTTAATTTCCTTTTAGGTAGTATAAACATTATGGTTACTTAGAGAAAGAATTTGCATAAATTTGGTAGTTTTACTTTAATTTAAAACAAGCAAAGAAACAGTAAAATTGTATCGAATTAAGCAAAGGATTGACAAAGTAAAATTTGGCCAAAAAGCTAGTAGGTTTCAGCTGAAGTTGCATGTAGAGCACAGTGTTCAAGTTTACATGTTACTCATGCTATTTTTTGAAACCTGAGTCTGTCCCTCTTTCTCTTAAGTATTTTGCCACTTCCTATTTATTAGAATCTTTACTTTCCATGTAGCTGTATTATTGAGTTAAATACATTCTTCTTGTTAATCTGAGGCAAATACTGTCCTCTTAATCAGAACTGATATATTTGCAAGTATGCAATGAAAATACAGTTTGGATCAGCATTGCTTCCTTTTACTTGAAAATACTCTCAACCTCGCTAAATGTTGATGAGCTTTTGCCAAATGAAATGCGTGATGAAGGACATCCCATTACCGTTGCCTGTTGGAAGCTAGGTACATAATACTAAAGGAATGGCTCAAAGTTAATTCTGCTCTTACAGTGTTTTCCTAAGTGTTCACTGTTTACTGTTGGAAACAGGAAAGTGGGCAAGAAAGATCTTTAATCTGACCAGAGTGTTCTAACGTAGCATACCAAAGGGCTATATTTACTTTGATGTAATAACCACATGTGGCACTCTGTGGATTGCACTCAATGCAATCCTTGGATTTTGTGTGTATTCCAACACTGCACAAGTATAAAGACCATGAATGATTACACAGAACTACTGCTAGATACTATGCCTGTTTAAAAAGTCAATATGTTAACATTTCTTGTTCTTCAGAAAATAAATACAATCCCTTTCCTTATTAGTCCTCTGAAAATTTACAGAGCATTTTCATAATTAAATATATTTCTCTTTTTCTCTCTCTGTCCAAAATATTTTTGATGGAATTTTAGACAAATTATATGCTTTTTAACCATTATGGACAGTTTTCTCTTTATATTAATTTCTTTTAGGTAAGATACTGAAACAAATATTTTTGATTAAATATAGTATTACTTTCTGAGTTACAGCACTGTTAATCATTATATGACACTGTACTTAATTCATATTTTTCTGTGTATTGCAGAGGAACAGATGTCTTCTGCTGGGAAACCCCAGAAAGGACTGGTAGATCCTTATCCAACATTTCAAAGAAGAAAAACCACTCGTTTTCTTAAAATTGGAACTCCTTTCTATCAGGACAATCAACTTCAGGTCAAAGTCTATTGGAAGAAGACAGGTTTGTCAAGTTTTTATTTTACTGTTTTTTTCTAAGGAGGAGCTCTCATCAACTGCCTCAGAGTTGTAGAACATTGATACATATAATGAACCTGGTACAATGATTCAAAGTTAAAGCCTACACCCATCCTTCCTTCCCTTCATCTTCATGTTAGTGTGAAACATTCCCTCTCCTCTTTTTGTTATGGATGCGTAAGTGGCTGGCGGAGGGAAATGATGAGAATTGGCTATCCAAAAATTACTCTTAGTCATGTTGGGACACTGAATCTTCCCAGAGCTGAGATAATTATTCGTTTGGTGGAAATTACTTCTGTAGCATTTTAAATAGGGAAGCAGAACTTGGCCTTATGTTCAACAGAGCTTTTGTGGCTATGAATCTGGTATTTCTGGAGTGTGGTGGAAAGGTCTCAAGCACATACACTTCCCAGGTGGATTTTCTGCTGATGTCATTGCAGTATCGCTCGTTGGACTTTGTCAGTTGAGAAATGAGTGAGGAAATTAATGTATATGAAAATAATACAGTGGTGTCACAAAAAATGAAATGTAGTTTAAACCACAAAATTTAGACTTACACTGGCTCATGTTAAGGCCACAACAGACTTTATGCCAAACTTTGTCAGTCATCTCGAATTTGTACAGGATAAACAGTTGGCCACAGCCACTGGCAAAATTTGTTTTCTACTACGCTGCATGCACCCTTCCGTTTCTCAGAGAATATAACAATTTTTTATTTAATTCTTCCAGTCTAAAAGAAAAATAAATTTTAAATGTCTCATCAGATTCAGAAATAAAAAAGATACTTCCTTTTTTGCCCTCTAGGAGTGTATAGGTTATTACAAGTTGTTCAAACTTAGCCATAACAGGTTCATATGCTGTTGTTTGAAATTGTGCTAACACTGTTAGTGTTTTAACTTGGAATAATCTACATGTGCAGCAGTAGCACATGTATAAAGTCCATTCAATTTTTGTATTTGAAATAAAGGGCTGCAAAATGGATAATCACCTTTTCTTCTGGAATTTTTGAAAGAATTTTGGAAATATTTAAGTTCTTTTGGGTTTAGGTTTATGCAGCACCCTGAATGAGAAAAAGCTATGTATGTCACACTGGATTATGTGGACTGTGAGAGGTATCTTTTGCTTCTTAAAAAGTGCCTGCCTGTTTAAACTGTTACCTTTCCAGCCCTTCTATATCAAATACTTTCAAATCAAATGCTTATTCCTCCATGAAATCTGCAAACTTTGGCTCACCGTGACTCCATACACATTTTAAATGTTTGTCCCTACCTTGGCTGTGCTAGTTTTCTTTTTTCTAGGTTTCCCCATTATATTTCCTTTTTGCCTAACTTCATGAAAAGCTGGAATAATTTAAAGTTTAAATAAAAGATGAGACATTTTTAATTGTGAATACTAAGTTTACCTAACAATATGCTTTTTGTTATCCAAAGTGAGATTTATATATTCTGAGCCTGGGACTGATCCCTTCAAGCTTTAGCCTTCTGGAAATGAGATGTCAACTCATTGTCCAAGCTTCTTTTATGATTAGCAAAGCAGGTGACTTCTGAAGCAATTCATCCCACACAGCAGCTGTATTATTCTCTGAAGATGCCTCCCTTACTGAGTACAGAAGGGAGCCTAGACAACACATTTGTAGAAGGCTTAGAGATGCCTAATATCTCTCTGTGAGCTAAGGTTCAATTCTGAGCAGTCAGAACTGAAAAAATTGAAGGATAAGATTCAAAGATGAGGAGACTGTGATGACTCTCACAGGTATAAGGCCAGGTTGTGCAACCAACAGTCTACAGACAAGATTGACCCCAGTTCAACAATCAATCCAGCTGCAGCCCTTTTCCTGCCAGCCTGTTTCCACAAGAAAGATTGTGTCCTATGACCAAAATGCCAGTGCCCTTAGTGAAATTCACTTTACAAGTAGTTTTCCAAATTCGCTATTAGAGTTAATGGAAAAAAAATCATGACCAATACTGCAATATTCATCTTGTTTCAAAGTAGATATCTTGAACTAGGTGTCTACTAATTGTAATGGTAACTTAGATATTGAGCTTATAAGTAGGTGTTACACAATTACTTAAATGTTGACATCTAAATCTGGAGCTGAATCCCACGCTGTGTAACATACCTGGAAGTATTATTTGTAGTAAAAGAAATATAAAAAGAAATAAGGTAGTCAGCATTCTTGTAGTGGCTGAGAGAATTTTATAGCTTGGAAATAACAGTGTTTGGAAGTGGTGTAATCTCCACAATTGGAGACCTTCAAAGACAGATGTGACACAGTTCTGTTACAAATTACATGGGTTTACAGACTGTCACCTTGTGCCAGGGATGGACCAGTGGAGTTCCTGAGTTGCTGACTGTGCAACTGACTCATCGTGTGTGACACTGTGTACATCCAGTTATACAAGGAGGACCCCGAGAAGTATGTTTTGATCATGTGGTGGGAGCAAGCTGTCACATGCACTATGGTGTTTAGGTATATGCCTCAACCATGAAGTGGGAGTTGCCTTCATTTTTCTCACATAACAAACAGTGATAGCAAAGGTGTGTGAAGAGGGGAGAATATGTCAGTTTGTCACACTTAGTTGGTTTTTTTTCTATTTTAAAAAGAAAATATATATTCTCTGAGTGACAATATATGCAGTAACACAGCAGGAGCCATTGCCTCATATAGAACTTAAATATAGCCAGTTACCTGCTCCTAAAAAGCTAGCAGCTTCTATAAGCTCTTAAAGCAATTTGAAGGTTATGTAGTACATGGATGGGGTGCAGATTGTAAATTTAGTAGTGACAGTTTACTGCAGAGCAAGTCTTTTTTCACCATGCAAGGAACACAGCAGGTGAACCATATTGGCTCTGTCTTGTCTTTATGAAAAACAGCAGTTGCCGGAGCCAGTTGTGTTGGGAACTGTACCTACACCTCTTTCTCCTTTATGAACTGCAATGTCTCAAGTCATGTTTAGGGAGTCGTAGGATGTATAAGAGTGCCGCAACTATAATAGGCAGTACTAAGAGAGAATTTACCTCAGCCTACTCTATGGCATAGCATCTAGGCTATTTTCATTGCAGATTGGAAATCAGAGTTCAAATTCTTCCTGACAGGGAATTGAAATCTTTGTGGTGGGTGAAAACAGGAATCCCTGTTGATAGCTCTAATGTTCTCATTAGTTTGTAGTTTGCTATTAAGAACACTTTCTTTTGTACAGGAACACAATCATTCTGTAGTCCTAAATTAGGATGTGTGTAGTCTTTCACTTTGTAGAATTACTCATTTTCTATAGTAATAGCTACTCAGAAATATTTGTTGTATTCCTGAATTCAGTGGCCCTACTATTCCACCTAAATGTGAGATTATTTTTTTTTATTTTGTCCAAAACCAAGATGGCTCTATCAAAGAGTTTTGTACTGCTTCCTAACACTGTAACATCACAGCACACTGGATTACAGAAACAAACAGAAGGGTTTGTGTGGCTTTCTTGCAGTCTTAGACCACTTAAGAAGCACAAATGTGTTCCTATTTTAGATTATTATTTTACTTTCATTGCTGCCTTTGTTAACTGAGAAATTGTTTTGCTTTTGAATTTGAACCATTTTACTCTCTTTACAAAGGTCAAAATAGAACAGAATCATAGAAAAATTTAAATCTGTTGGAAGGGACATCTGGAGGTCAGCTGGTCCAACCATCTGCTCAAAGTAGAACTCTGAAGTCAAATTAAGTTGTTCAGTCCTATCTGTAAGGCCCTATAACAGATGTTGTTACTGTTTGTGGAATAACAGGGAATTTGTCCTTTATAGTATCAGGCTGCAGACTGCCACCTAGCAGTTTATTGCAATGTACCTTAGGATTTCCAGAGTGTATGGTGATGTCTCTTAACATTCAAAGATATTTCTTCCATTACTATGAAGATGCATTCCTCAGTTTCGTTTGCAGATGTGCCTTAGGAAGCCAGTGAAAGACCACAATGATGACATCAGGGCTGAAGCTCTTGGTTTTATATCTTCCTTCTGGATAGAATTCATCAAGCCTCTATCCTATGCAACAACTGCAATAGAGGGTGTTGCAATCTATTACTGAACTGGCTTTATTATACAGTGAAGAAGTGATTGCTTATCAGTACTCTGAGTGCTGAATTTGAGTTAAAGTCTGAGTAAGTGGATGGAAGATCCTATTTCCATATATATGCATCATAATGTGCCACAGTTTGGAAGCAGGAAAGACTTATTTAGGCTTGTTCTTCAAGTGCCATTTGTTAAGTCCCATTAGCTTCAGTAAGCATGAGGCATGAATGGAATGTCGGATCTGGACTTTACATTAAAATAAATCTCTTTCTGAAATAATCTTTCAGTTTGAATGCTTTGGTTGATGGCAATAATAACTTTACTTCAGGATGTATGCTAGCAAAAATAACTCCACACTTCAAGCAGTACAAGATGCTTAGGAAACACACATAATTTTGCTAGACAGGGTCATCACAAAAACATATTGTAATTATATGAATACAATAGCTTCTTTCTGAAAGAAGAAAATGTCTTTCACTTGCTGCCTCTGACTTAGTCCTAGGATTAGAGAAACACAGTGCATTCCTTAAACAGTATGAATCTCACTTCTGTAAATGAAAAGAAGAACTTGCTTGTGGACAGATTTTTTGGCCATCTTGACTGTGTGAAATTAGAAATGATGTGCTACTTATGTCAAATAGTGGAATCAACTTAAATAAATCACTTTTAACTCCTTGGTGCTGGGGTCACAGAGTATGATTACCAAGGATGGATGCACTCTGAACCCTTTACTTAAAAGGATTAGCTACTTAGAATAATTAGGATTTTCAGTATCTTGTGCAGTAATCAAGACTGAAAGTGTGAAAATAAGTTCCTTATGTTTCCTCTGTTCCTTAGCGGTTTGGCAACTGGAGAGCTGAGATTTTGGACTTCAGTTGAAAAGCCTTTGAGTTGCTGCAAATTGGTATATCTTCAGGGTATGAAAAGAAGATATTTCCCATA